AGTCTTATTGATAGGAAAAAGAGAGAAAATTAATTTTGATACTTCATTATTTTCTATATTCATCTTATTAAATGTTAGAAAAAATTATTTAAAATAGTTCTTTTTGTCCTTATTAAGGGGTTGGGGTGGAATCTTATTAAATTTCAAGAAATAATTAATGAAATTTAAGATTTTTCTTAATTCTAATAAAACATGCTAAAAATAACTTATAAATAGGATCAGATAGAGTATTAATTACAAGACTGGTTGGGTTTATCAAAATTGATTTTTCTCCAGAAAAAAATCTTCATTTGCGTATATGTCCCTAAAATCTAAAAAGAAACACTTTTTTGCAACTTCTGATTTAATAAATAAATAAATATCGCTCTTTCGCGGTCTTCCAATATAGTTTCCCCAAATTTCACTAATTAACAATGTTAAGATCCCTTAGTTTTTAGTCCTAACAATTTTTTAATATCCTGTTTATATTTGGCTTCTCATCATCCTTTTATTCCACCACAAATTTCCATAGCAAATTTCTAATTCTTTTTCGGAAAATTTTATAAGGACAGTAAGGATATTTAGGAAAAGGGACTAATAAAGTTCTTTAACTGAATTAAATTTATAACTTGTTTTGGTAAAAGAATTAAAGTTATAATTTTAATTCACTTAACCTTAATTCATTTGAAAAACCTTGATCTTTTTTTAAAAAAATATATTTATGGTTCTTCTTACAAATTTTCCCTTTTTTTGGTAGTCATCATTGCGTATCTCCCTAACCAATTTCTAACCAACACAAAAAATTTAGAGCATCCACAAAAGTGAGAGTATACTATAATAAGAAAAGTATGACTTGGATTAAAGAGAACCTCCACCTCATTGGGAAGATTATTGAAAAATGGTGAATTATAATATAAAAAATTCCACCTCGTTAGGTGGGAAAAATAATAATACTTCATCCCATTTTATAAGTGATTTTAGAAGTTATTTGATATCCCAAAATATAAGATGTTTTGAAAAAAAATAAGGTATTATTAATGATAATTATTCTAATATTATCCTTTATTATTTCACTCCTTATAAATAATTTTCCTTTTCTCTTTGTTTTAATGAAAATTATTTTTAGAAGTTTATAAAAAATTAAGATTGTAAGATGTATGTAATTAATTTCATTCCTACGTATAATTTTATATATATAAAAAAATACTACCTTGTAAATCCATGAGGAAGTGGTAGTTAATGATTATAAATACATCCAATTCAACCACTCACGACTCACGACTCACACACGCATAAAACTGAGAGTAGTATTTCAGCAAGCTTTACGGGGAAATAATGGAAGACCGGCAGATAATCAGAAGACCTTTGCTTGGTACTGCTTTATCCAGGTCAAGGTCACATAAACCCTATGCTACAGTTTTCAAAGCGTTTGGATCATAGGGGTGTGAGAATCACACTAGTCGCCACTCGCTTCCTCGGCAAAACCCTAAAACTAGATCAGCACTGCTTAACCTCCATAGCTCTTGAGAGCATCTCTGATGGCTTTGACCATGGGGGCTTTGAAGAAGCAGGAAACAATCAAGCCTACATCGATCGTTTCTGGGACGTAGGGCCAAAGTCTTTCGAACAACTTTTACAGAAGCTCACACAAAGTAGTTCAGTTGATTGTGTTGTGTATGCTTCTTTCTTGCCTTGGGCTCTTGAGGTTGCCTGGTAGTTTGGGGTTATTGGAGTTGCTTTTTTCACTCAATCTTGTGCATTGAACAGTATATATTACCATGTTCGTCATGGAAACTGGAAGAAGATTCCCGATACTGATGTTGATGAGTCTGGGATTTCACTTCCTGTGTTGCCAACACTTGCTGTTTATTGCATGCCATCTTTCTTAGATGCTTCGGGACTTCATCCAGCTTTCTCCAAAATGGTTCTGAATCAGTTCTCTGATATTGAGAAAGTAGATTGGGTTCTTTGTAATTCCGTTTATGAGCTTGAGCCACAGGTCAGTATACTTGATAATATCTTTTATTTATATAGTTATTAGGTATAACATTTACTACATATATTTATCTGTGTGGGAAGCTTGTAAAGGTTATTTGTGAATGAATAATTTAACTTCTAAAGGTTATTCACTGCAGCAAGTGATCGATACTAAATTGATATAAAATTAAAAAAATCCCATCAAAAGCAATACAAACACTTTTAAAAGAATCGGCTGATGAGTCACATTTGAGGACTATAGCGTAGATCTGATTTGATCTCCACATTTAATTGTTTTCTTGTTTAATTAATCAATCCCGGGGAAGCTTTTCTCTTTATTTAGGAATAACATACTGTTTCTTATTTTAATAGGTTAAAGGGCAAATTTGCCTCCAAAATTTTTCATTAGGAGTAACTAGTATCTTTAACTTTTGATTGGAGCAATATTATCCCAAAAGTTTCAAAATGGTGCAATATCATACTACAGTAAAGATTGGCCAACATTAACTATTAGTTGAAAATTTTGACTAGATCTAAAGAGCAGTTTTGCCCCAGAAGTTTTTCTTAAAGATCAATTGGTATCTTAAACTTTCTATTAGCACAATGCCTTTGGGCTATCAATATTCAAATTTGAAGAAAAATCTAACAATTTATTATCATTGTTAAAAATAGTTCATATTTTTAGATTTTGACAAAATTCTTGCCTAAAGTTGTTTTGATACATAGTTAATTCTACCCCAAGCACTCCTCATACTTTCTTTTAAAGTTCGGAATTTCCCCTATTTTTCCTATGAGTAGCTCTTGGCTTGCACATGCTTAAATATAGACTCTTTCAAATACAAGTAACATAGACTAGTATAGATTTTGATTTAGAGGCATTCAATGTAATTCAACCTAAAATCTTCACCTATTTTTGGGTTATAACAAGTTTGTTAAATCCTTCTTTTGAATTGAAAGTTGATCACCCAAGAACATTACACTAATTAAAATTTTAAGATATTGATTACTTTCTTAGACAAGCTTCTAGGACAAATTTCCCTTTTAACATTAAAAATAACAGTCAACATTAGTCAACCATTATTGTAGGACAACATTGCACCATTTTTAAAACTTTTGGAATAATATTGCTCTAACCAAAAGTTAATAATACCAATTGCTCCTGGTGAAAAACTTTCATGATAAATTTGCTATTTAACCCTATTTTCATTTCCAAGGAGAACACGTCATATGATGAGTGATTAAATATATCATTCTTTACCAACAAATGTTAGTTCTAGTAAGAATTGGGTCCATAACTCACAAGATTATGAAATTAAATCCCACTACCAATGTGAAAAAATCTTATTGATGAGCAATTTGTAAGTATATTTGTAAGTGCTTTTTTAACCTAGAGGCTTATTTTAGCCTTAATGAATTATTGAAGCCTAACTCATCTAAACTTTTTATTCACTCAAAAAATATATATTTTTTTAACTGAAATTACATATATCATTCTTTAATATAAAGTTACTTATTTACATTTTTTTAATTGGCAATCAAAAATCTTCCCTCTAAGGACTATAGGACCAACCATACCGTCAATGTTCCTAGACAAGAGACTCAAGGATGACAACGCCTACGGTCTTCACTTTTGCAAAGAAGAAAACAATGTTTGAAGTGGTTAGGAGACAAGCCAGCTGGGTCTGTAGTATATGTCTCCTTTGGCAACATGGCATCATTAAACAACGACCAAATGGAGGAACTAGCATGGGGCTTCGAGGACAGTGCGAGCTAGTTCTTATTAGAGAACCAGAGAAACCTAAGCTTCCCAAGGACATTTTGGACATTTCACAGAACAAACAAGGTTTGGCGATCACTTGGTCTCCTCAACTACAAGTGTTAGATCATGAAGCTGTGGGTTGCTTTGTGACACATTGTGGATGAAACTCAACATTGGAAGCTATGGGCTTAAGAGTTCCAATGGTGGCAGTTCCTCAGTGCACAGATCAACCCACAAATGCAAGGTACATAAAAGATGTGCGTGTGGGGTAAGAAAAATTTGGGTTGGTTTGAAGCTGGGGATGCGAAAAAAAAAAAAATTGGGACCAAACTTTGTACAAAATGCTCAAAAACAAAGGTGTAGGTTATCGAGCAAAGATTGTTAACAATTCAAAACTGACAAAAATCTTATACAAACCGTCACTATAAAGAGCTAGAATTTATGGTAAGAGATGGTTTTCTTGAAATTATCACCTATGAAAGGTGTTATGAGATTTGTAATGAAATGCAAACTTAGTCCAAAATACATTGGTCCCTTTGAAATTCTAGATAGAGTGGGTGTTGTTGCTTATCGTCGTGCCTAACCTCTAGAGTTAGGTGGCATTCATCCTATGTTTCATGTGTCAATGTTGTGAAAATATTTATATGACCCTTCTCATGTTGTTGAACTCAGGAAATTCAAGTAAATAAAGACTTATTTTATGAAAAAGTTTCAATAGCCATTCTTGATAGGCAAATAAAGTAGTTGAGATTGAGGGAAATCATTTCTATGAAAGTATTATAGGGTAACCATTTTATTGAAGAAACTACTTGGGGAGTAGAGAGTGGGGTGCAGGAGAAATATTAACATTTATTTGAAAATTGAGGTAAGCATTTATTCAAATTTGGAGGACCAAATTTTTTAAGGAGAAGAAAATGTAATAACTTTAAATTTAAATTAAATAATTTTCTTCAGTTAATATTTTGTTTAAATTAATTTTATAGTAAATGAAAAGTGGTGGTCTAATGAAATTTATATTAGTAGTTTATCTAAAGGTCAAGAGTTCAAATTCTCTTGAGCACTAGATTAATTTTATTTTAATTTAATTATGAGAAAATTTTCAACTTGCCCTTGTCTTTAGATTTTAAAAAAAAATTGGGTCGTTTCTTGTAATTGTTTCCATTATTCTTTGTTCAAATTTTCCACCCTTCTTCTTGCGCGAAAAACAGAGTATTGATAGATTTTTTTTTTCCCCTTCTCTTTTCTCCACCGACAGAGTGCTCTTCGGATCCTCTACCGTCAGCCGGCTCCTCCATACCTCGCCGTCTTTCTTCCTTTATCCCTTCTCCGATAGCTTGTTCATCACTCTCCCTTCCGTCTTTCTTTGTCCTCTGCAATGGTAGGTCGCTGGATCATTATCCCCTGTCACCGTCCTTTATTTCTTCCTTGCTTTGGGTCAGCGTGTGGTGCATGGGCTTCATTTTCCCTTCCCCCTCTCAGCTGCAGGATATCGAGTGTGTGTGGTAAGCTCATCTTTGCTTCTCCTTCCATTGTTGTTGGCTGTGCAAGCTTGAAGCTTCAATTCCTTTAATTTTCGAACAGCCATCTCCTTTTCTTCGGTGTCATCTGTGGGTTGATGAGTGGCTTTTGCCACTGCATTTTGGTTTGAGGTAAGTCGTCGGTCCTTTCTTCTTCCTCTCTTCCTCCCGTGGCTGAAAACTGCGCCCTTGCTCTTCCTTGTTCCTGTCATAATTTTGAGAAGATTGAGGCGCTGTTTGGGTCATGTTAGATGTTACTTCATTTTGATATTGAGTTAAATCTTAATTGTAAAATTAAATATTTGAAGTTGTTGAAAATTTTAAATGTTAGTTTCATAATTTAGTTAATAAAAAATGTCCTCAAGGTATTTTTAAAATTGTTTGAGAGAAGAATTTAAGAAATGAATGTTCTGAAATTTCTATTTTTATCTTGGAAGAACATGTGTAAGTATAATACCTATTAAAAATTCTGATATTGTGATTGTTAATTTTAGTCTCTTATTAAATGTAATTCAAAGGCTTGATGATTCTTGAGTAATGTATAGAAGTTTAATTTATGAATTAAATGATGGTGAGAAGTTAGAATGAATATGTGAATTGGTTTGTAGTGAGTAAATGGGAACACAGTTGTAATAATTTTAAATTTTAAATTTAAAAAAAAAAATTAATTTATATTTTATTTAAAATTTGTTTTGTGACAAATTATGAGTATTGAATTAGTGAAACTTATGTTAATAGCTTATCTGAAGATTCAAAGTTTAAATTCTTTTGAGTAATAGATTAATTTTATTTAGTTTAAATGATGGAAAAATTATCAAAATGCCCTTATCTTTTATGTTATAAAAGAATTTTTGGGGCTTTTTTTATAATTTTTCTTATATTTGAATTTTTCTTCCCCTCCTTCACATTCAGACGCACGCAACAGGGGAAACAAATTCTCTGGATTCTTCGATCGTTCTGTGTGCCATCGCTCTCCTTTCATTCCTCTTCGATTCTCGAGATATTCCACGCGGCAGCCTCCGATCATCATCCTTCCATCGCCCGTCCTCCTTTAGCCAGTATTTCCTCTGCTTTTCACCACTAGTTTGGTTCGTCCTTGTGCTCTGTAGTTCTAGGTAGATGTAGAGTGCATGGCAGTGGTTTCGGGTGTCCAAATTATTTTCTCTTCCATCTTCTTTTCCTTCTCCTGGTCGTCCGTGAGTTTGTATCTAAGGGGCGTGAGTTCTTTTGTCTTGTGTTTTGTCATGTTTTTTGAAGAGGAAAACTGAAATTTATGCCTTATCTTACCAGCTACTTGTTGTTTGAGGAAAGTATTAGATATTCTAATGGATGCTTGATAGTGACTTTAGTGGAATAAATGTTATTAAATTTTCAATTTACATCTTAGAGGTTTGTTGCTGAATCCTCCTCCCTATTCAGCTGAGGTTTTGTTTCTTCTCCTTGTCCGTGCATCTTTGGTTCATTTAAAAATAAGCAGCTTTGATCTCTTTTTCTTCCATGGTTGGTTTTGCTACTGTGCGCGTGAATGTAAGAAATAACGATGTTAAAGTTGCAAAATTTTGTTGTGTTTTGCTGTTGCTACCGTGATTGTGTGAGAAGGAGAGAGGTTAAATTAAAGCTGAATTTTTGGTTTAGCGCTGCCATGTGAAATGTGAAAGACGATGATTTAATTTTTTTTTTTTTAGTTAAGACCGATTTATTCAATGAAGAAAAGGAAATTAAAAAGCTGATTTGTTTATTTATTTATATATTAGAGCATTTTGGAAGATATAATCCAAGAAAAGAAGTTGGTTTGAGCTTCCAAAAAGACAAAAAATTGTGCATATAAGATGTTTGACAATATGTTTATTAAAAAAAGGCTTTATTTGATTTTCCTTTTGAGTGCTATTGCTCTAAGAACTTAAGTTGAAGATTCCAAAGGGATTTTGAGCATCAAATTAGTATCGAACTATTTGAATTCTTGAGAAATAGATAGTTATGAATAAATTTTGTGGTAAAAGATTGGAATGCTAAAAGCTCATGGGTTGGAAATGAAGCATGGTTGGTATTTGACAAAAGGATTAAGGGGAGATAGTATTTAATGGAATATTGAATTAAGGCTTTTGAGAGAGTTTTATAAAATTATGCTCTTGATATTTTAAACTTATTATAGTTAATTTTTTTTATAGTGGTAATGTTGGGAGGAAATAATTGAATTTATACAAAGTTTATTTAAAAATCTTAATTTAATTTATAGAGTATTTGGAGGAGGAGAAATTTAATTTACATTGAGAGGTGAATTCTTGAATCTTAAGAATTTCAAGTAAGTGGATAGTGTCTCAACTAATTTTTTAAATCAAAATTTTCTTTACTAAAATGTTACGTTTTTCTACAAATCATTTTAATAGCAATAATGTGATTATAAGATATTTTGTCAATTAAAATTACTTTATTTTGTGAAATTAGCTTTACCAAATTTAAAATGCTAGTAAATCAATAAAAACCAGTTTGGACTTTAATTGTGAGATTTCATTCTTCCAAATATTGAAGTAGTACAGAAAGCAATTCATGTGAGTCTGACATTGAAAATAAAATTTTTATTTTAATGGTGAATATTTTCTCGTATGTTTGAAATTGAATTTTAAAGGGACTTCATACAGGACACTTGTTGCTAACGGCAGTTTTATTGGCTCTTGACACGCCATGATTAATGACTAGCTAATTTGATTTTTGTGAGCTTTATTCTCACGTCTGTTATTTGTAGGTCTTGTACCTATGTCTATTTCGTGGTTCTGACCACGTCTGATTAGTTACCCTTATAGATTGTGTGTTCATATTTATTTCGTGGTTTCGGCTGCATTTGGTTACTTATCCTCGTAGACTGTATGTCCACATATGTCTTCACAGCAAAAGCCACGTGGTTATTTACTATCATAGACTGTGTGTCCATGTTTATTAATTGTTTTGATAAGTCCCTATAATTATGAATCTAATTATTTGGTGATTTCATATCCCATTAGTTTTTATTTAACAATTTATTTCTAAGTATTTATTTCATTTATGTGCTTTCCTAAAATCAAGTGATATTAATATTTGCTATGATAGTTCAATAGTTTAAGATTTTATTCAAAATTTTATAGAGCCATTTTATTCTGAAGTTTATTAAATTTTTAATAAAAATTGTTGTCTCTTTAACTTACATGATTATTTCAAACTTTCCTTTTTATTCATGTTAAATTATTTATTGTTGGGATGTTATTCACTAGAAAATTATTTTGATCTCAGATACCTTAATTGATGCTAATTCTTCTACCAACCCCTAAGGACTTTTAGACGTGCTCGGTGGAGAATTGATTGAAATTTCTCTCTTTGGTATAATTATAAAGGTCTATGTATTTTATTTTTGAAAAGTATGGTTAAATGCTCCACATAGGCTATAGTTAAGGTTTTATTTTGATATATATATATATATATATATGTTGTCTGCTAGTTGGAAGGAGTTGAGCTCTCTAGTAAATCAATGTTGAGGAAAATTATTGCATTATAGAATTTTGAAAGATCCTATTTACAAAGAAGGTTTTGCTAAAATTTCTACAAAATGTTGAAGCATTTTATTATAATAATTAGTATTAATAATATTAAAATTTCAATGTAAAAAACCGATTACATTTAAGAAATAAAATGAATTTTAGATGTGTGGCTTACGGGGATGGGTACTGTAATTCACACCTCATGCTGGTCACTCTTTATTTCCGCGGAGTGACAACAGCCAAGGTGTTTGTTTAAATATTTAAGAGAAGGGTAAGGTTGATTGATTGATATAGTTGAATTTGGAGTTTATTAACAGGGAAAGAGAAATTTATATTCTTGTTTAAAAAGTTTATAATATTGATAGGAAAACCTAAAGAAATTACATTTGAGCATAAAAATGTGGCTATCAATTTTAAATTAAAATGTTTATTTCTGGATTTGATTTGAAAATTACTTGATAAATTATTTTACGATTATGATTTATTTGTCAACAAATTAAAGGTATTATTAGAATTAAAGTGAAAAGTTAAGAAAAGTAAATTTTAAAATATTTAGGAATCCCTCAGCTGTATGAGTGGATCCCAATAAAATTTTCTTAAAATGTTTCTTAAAATATCTTTATTTAATACCTTGTTTAAAGTCTTTGCTATTATTTTCTTTATGATTTATATAGTCCTCTTTATTTATGTTATTTTACTTATCTTATTTTTATTCAATTGGATTATTATTGAAATTATTCTATTTTTATCAAGAAGTCATACTATTGAATTCAATGTGCAATAAATTGATTATTTATTCAAAATAATCCTATTTTTTAAACTTCTATTTGATTTTAAATTTGTTAATACGGTGATTTGTGCATGGAAAAAATATACGTGGAATGGAGGATGGATATTCATGAGCATTATACTCACACTTGTTTTTAGTGAGCTTTGTACATATGCTTGTTTTGTGGCTTCTAGCCACGCTTGATTATTTCGTGGCTTTAAGCCATGCTTGCCGGTAACTTAGCCTCATGGACTATATGTCCACGCTTGTTAATCGTTTTGATTAAATCTTACTAAAGAAAGAATTTTAAAACTTATTTTCTTTAAATTTGATCTTAAAAAGCAAACTGCTATGTTTACTATTATATAAATTTTATATTGAATGATATATATTCCAGAGTGTTTAAGTATATGTAAAAAAAAATGAAAGAAAGAAAGAAAAAGGAAAGGAAATTTGAACTTCTAATTATTTTTATTTGGATTTATATATTCATAGTTTATACATTTATCTAATTATTGATGTTGATATTTATGAAGCATGTGTTTATATTATCTTCAATTGATTATTTTAGTAAATTATAATTGATTCATTGATCTGCTTTTCATTATTTCTTTCAACTGTAAATTTAAACGTTACTCACTGAAAAATTTTATTGGCCTCAAATATTATAGTTGGCCTTACACCTCCTGCTAATCATTAAATGGCTTTATTGCTTTTTGGAACAATGGAAGAACATGAAGTTATTTTGTTGATGCAAATATATATGATACTATTATAACTTAGTGCTCCACGTATACTGTAGTTATGTCCTAATCTTATTTTGTTATTGTTAATTCTACTAGTATAAAGCTAAGCTCCTTTCTGGATTGGCTAACAAATTTATTAATTGTAGAAATTTTGGAGGTCCTAATTACAAGAAAGACTCTACCAAAATTTCTACAGAATGTTTAAGATTTTACAAACTTTATAAATATATTTGTGTGTGTGTGTGACTCATTAATTAGTATAAATTATTTATCACTATTTTAGATTAATCTCTGGTTAACTAAAGTTTAAGGAATAGTTTATCTCATATTCTATGCCAATCACACCCTTATATCTAGATATGACATGAATAAAGTGCCGGGAGAAGGTGCTGGCGGCTATAGCATCATATGGCCCACCACTCTCCTTATCTCTTCGTAGTCACACCTTCCAAAACTCAACCTCAAATATCCCCTTATTGCTAGATTATGCGTTGTGTCTTGCTCTATGGTAATATTTATCTCCTTAGGACTTGCTATAAATATTAAGTTAGGTTTTGTATTTAGGATATCATTTGGCAAATATATATCTTGTATATGGGAGACTAATCTCGACTATTTTATTGGAGAGATTATAGTTCAAGATTCTCACTCTAATTTTCTCTAATAGAAACTACTCTATTCCTTTTTTATCTTTCCTGTTTTGTTCATTTTCTAAGATAGCATGTTCTGATGGTGACTGGGCTGTTCGTTTGTTACTTGTTGTGTTTCTAACTGGAACCTGTCCAATTCCTTAGAGGGTGGTATTTTATCATTGTGATTGTGAATTTTATTTTATTAACAGACAATTTCAGTCTTCTAAAAAGAGAGAGCTTTGCATTTTTAAATCGAAAAATCGATGCTAACTCAATGACTCTCTGCAATTTTTTGTTTCTATCCTTTTAAGGGATCAAAGTTATAGACATAGCTCTTTGCATGAATTAGCCAGCTAGGCTTGTTATCAAACTTTTTTTATGTAACTTCTAACCTTATCGTTGCTTGTAGAGATTATATCATTGGGAGAAAAATAAAATAAAGATGATCAGACATGTCTTTGAAGCTATTGGCAGTAGATGACTTAATGATATTATTGGCAAAAAAAAAAAACAAGAAGAAGAAAAGGCTCAAGGGAATGAAAATTATGTTTCAAAGTGGATAAATGGAGCTGATTGGAATGAACTTGTGCACTATTAGAAAACTCCAAAGTCCAAAAAGATTTTAACAATTAATTCAAGCAATAGATTGTTAAATCCATCTC